GAGAAAAGTATATTTAAGTCCAGTGGGTAATGGTTTAAGCTCCACCTTTGGTGCTTTTTCCTTAGTGGGATTTCCAAAAGACGGAGGGTGTCAATCGATATCTCTGTTAAGATATCGATCGATATTGATCTCTGATTCATCTTCGTCTTTGGTTTCGATACCTGAGGATCCATGACTTGTTTCTACGAGACGATCGCACTCGGCTGCTCTGCTATCTATGCTGAAAACTTCGTTCTGAGCGGATGTAAGCACATCTTCCAAATGATCTTCTGAGTACAGTTTCTCAAAAGATTCTTGGGTCAGTTCATCAATCTCATCTACGTAAGAGGATTGTTTATCTATTAAAGGCAATGTGACAACTTTTGCCATATCAAATCTCATAGGAATGTTGCCTATGTTGAGATTTATTTGTCCTTCCTTGACATCGATAATAGCGTTTGCAGTAGCTAGGAAAGGTCTGCCTAATAGAATTGGATCTCTTGGTTCGTTTTTGTAATGCAGCACAACAAAATCTGTTGGAACAACGCATCCGTCGATTTGTACTAGCACATCCTCGAGTACACCTTCCGGGATTCTAACAGATCTAATTGCGAGAACTAATTGGATGTTAGCTGGTGTAAACTCGGAATATCCAAGCGATGTGGCAACGGAATGCGGCATCAGGTTTACGCTAAAGCCCAGATCACAGAGCGCTCTTGGGAATAGCTTGTCTCGAATTGTACATTTGAGAACAAAACTACCAGGATCGGGTCTCTTTTCAGGGGTCTGGATTATAGCGCTAGCTTCTGCAGACACCATCATGACACTGCGTTTTTCTTCCGAAAAACTCTTGGTTGTCATTCCCTTGACATATTGTCTTATGGTTGGCAAAATTCTGAGGGCGTCAATAAGTGGCATTTCTACCTTAACGCGTTCAAAAGTGCGTCTACAGATTTCTTTATCCATGTTGCGCGTGGAGTTAGATTTGGGAGGATAAGGAGGTAGAGTGTTATACACCCGTTCTATAGTCGATCCAGTGGTTATTGGAATTTCTTTTGAGGTTGGGGGTGTATGTCGATCGATATTGGTATTATTGCATCGATCGACATCGTCAATTTCCTCCTCATCGAGAATGATCACTGGCACCTCAGTTTCCTCAGAATTCTCCTTATTTGCCTTGTCCAGAGGGCCTTTAGACATCGAGTCACGGAGTAGAATGGGATTAAAAATGGGTTTCTCCGCTTTCGGAGTTTTAGTGATTTCTCCGGAAGGAGTGTTCTCCCTAGTCATTGGAGCTAGTTCTTTTCCGCTTCTTAAGACTACAGCGTTTACGTGACGTCTCGGGTTTGTATCGGTCTTCCCTGGTAGACATCCTGCTTATCTCTTGATACCTTCTGCGGTATGGGCAATATTGCTTTCAAGGTTCCTTACTCTCTCATGTAGAGTGTCAAGTTTTTCTGACATTTCGCAGCTGGTGCTGTCTATCCTGGCATCTAGGTTATACTCCAGTTTCTGACTTTCTGTGAAAATGTGGTCCATCCTAGCCTTGACCTTCCCTTCTAGTCCAATGGAAATGTCGTAGCCTTGGGTAAAACTATCTATGTTAAAAGTATACTCATGAGGATTTTCTGGTCTAAGGAAAGTTTGCTCAATGGAATGGATATCCTTGTTGATCACGTTAGAATCTTTTCTCCTAATGAGAGAGTGAAGGGTATCTAGTGATTGCCTAATTTCGTTTAATTGAGATTCGTTCTTGGATCTAGTTTCTCGTTCTCTATCTTTAGTTTCATAAGATTTAACCATGGCTATGTTTTTAATCAAATAAATTGCTTCTGCAGAGGTCCTGGAGTTCAAATTTCCATTACTCGCGTTGTCTAGCGTGATCTGATAATCTAACTCGAGACCTCCGTAAAGGAAAGCTCTGGTTCAAGATAACCATGGTGGGCACAATCTCGCTGGTACTTATTAAACCTAGTCCAGGCGTTTTTAAAAGATTCTCGTGGGTTTATGTCGCACGTCCCAATATCGAGTTTCATTGAAAAACTCATTAATGAAAGCAGTGCGAATATCTTTCCAGCAGGTTAAGATCCTGCTGGTATTTGCTTTAACCAATCTCTGGCTTCCCTCCCCAAGGAAAAAGGAAAAATTTTACAATGATTACTATCGTTGAGTGCGAATCCTTCTAGATAATCTAGGTGCTCATGGGGATGGTCTGAGACAGAGCCACAGAAGGGGTTCTTTTGTACCAGATGGATGTAGTCAAAATGAAGTGTAGACTTATTTGCTTCATCCTCTGGTAGCTTGATAGCTGACCTATTGGAATAGGTCTTAATGGGATCTAAGTAATCTTGCAATTTTTCACATTTTCAATTGAAGATGGATGGTTATTGACAGGGATTTCAGTCCCCTGTTTAACTGTAAATTCATTGCATAACTGACCTATTGGTTCGTTTGGGACTACTTCCTCATTAATTAAATTGGTAAGTAAAGACTTACCTGCTTCCGGCTCGGTTGTATCGATCGATGTTGGTTGGACTATGTCGATCGATTTCTCGGTCAACATATCGCTCGATGCGTGCGTCACGTCATCACTCGATGTTTGGCCAAAATATGTCTTTTCCATCCTGCAGATCAGAGAAATAAGAAAAAGAATTAAGTAAACAATAAATAAAATTCTAGACTGTATTCTAAACTAAATCTGGTGGTAATAAGAAAGAGTCCCTGGCAACGGCGCCTAATTTGATATCAATCAAATGTTTAACCCTAAGGAGTGAATTACTTTCTCAAATAAGAGGCTCAGTCGTAGTACTTAAGGATCGAATCCACAGAGACTCTAGAATTACACAACAGATTATTAAGTCTTCGAAATAAAGCTAGAAAATAAGATTTTAAACACTAACTTAAAAGGTAGCAAATAATTGCTTGATTGATTGGTTGATTTCCTAAGACGGAAGAAAGTAGTTAAATTTAGGTATTTTCTCAGGTATGACATACATGCAAGTTGTAAAGGGTTTTTATTGTTCATAGTTCTAGATTCAAACTTTTTTAAGGAATTTAAGGATTAACTCCACTGGATCTCGAGTTAGGACTATCGTCCGATAACCTGTAGGGAATATCGATCGATGTTTCTGTCGATACTATCGATCGATGCTAATGCCGCTATATCGGTCGACACGGCTGTCGCCACGTTGATCGATATTGCATCCAGCGAGTGGTAGAGGTATGTTTGAATGGGGTATCTAGTCTTCATTAAATTAACTTAAACTTAGGGGATTTGCCAAGCTATCGCTTGTCCAAATTGACCCTAATATCAGAGGTAAGGGTGATCAATCCTTGGCCTTAGCATTCATTGATAACTAGATTGAGAACTATATTTTAAACACCCTAATAATGGTTCTATTCAATGTATGAGTCAACCTTAATGAGAAACCCTAAATCTAACAAGAAAGACTATTCAAACATATTCATGAGAGACAAAGTCATGATGGTCTGAATAATACTTTAAGATAATAATAAAAAGAAACAATAAGTAAAAAGGAAGTTCAAGATCTTCTCTGTAATTGTAGTTTCAGATCTCTCTCTCCATCAAAAACTCTTCTCAAAAGATAGCTAGATGCTTCTCCTTATTAGGTCTAAAAGGTCTCCAAGATTGTCTACCTAAACTAGTACAAAACCCTCTTAATATAGCCTAACAGGCTGCCAGGGACTTAGTGTGTAAATTATTAAAACTCTTGTGAAGCAATTAGGACTTCTAATCTTCATTTAATCGCTTGGATAATTTATGTATCGATCGATGTCAAATGACATATATCGATCGACACGGGTGATATTCTACCGGTCGATGGCTCTTAATGTGCATCGGTCGATAGCTTATACATCGTTTTGCTCATATCTTCGTAAAGTATCCATTTTAGCTCCAAAATGCATGTTTTACACTAGTGAGTACCTGAACCTGTAAAAGCTCTAAAAAGACACTAAAAGTATCCTTTTGTTTCCAAAAACATATATAAATCATTGCTGAAAATGGGTAAAATCCATGATATATCAAACTCCCACGAAATTCTTCTCTTAAAAACACACAGGAAGTCAATTGAAAAACTAACCTATGATTTGACCAGATTCTCTGTGGAGGAAAGTCTTCTCGCGAACATATTTCGAAAAAAACTTGATTTCATACCTTGAACCAGTTAGAAAACTTTCTTAATTCTTCAAGCAAATAAAACTTCACCATGACAGTGACCCAATCATTAATAACCAGGAATCATGAGCTTCAATGACTATATGAACCTTAAAAACTTTAGAGTAAAAAAAGTTTAGGTCTTTTGGATGAATATAGAGAGAAAGTGAGAGAGATGTAGTTTTTGTGCGTAAGATATGAGATAGAATGAGTCAATATCGTTTTTAATATGCACTAGGAGTTTTATATTAGTTATTCATGGTTGTTGAGTGAATTAAAGGCAATGATATTTTCGTGAATAATTGATGAAAATGAAGATGATAGAGTAAAACACTAATTTAAAAAAAGTAATTATATTTTCGTGAATAATCTGAACTCCTAGGATAAGTTGAATAAACGAAAATCTTAAGAGAATTATGGATTAGTTTTGCAATTAATTTTTTGTTGTGAGTCATTTTCGTTAGAACTCTCTTTAATTAAACTCGGGATTCTAATTACACGCCAGTCCGGCTATTTGGGGAGTGAACTGTTGCTCTCAATCTCGATGAGAAGAGTATTTTATACTTTTCTAGTTAGTGTAAAAGTTTTCTAATCTCCCATCTATAAAAGCTTTCCCCGTTTCAATATTTGAAGTAATCCAGATTGTAAGCTATCACTCTTTTTGTTCTTGCATTTTACATCAACCCATTTTCTCTTTTTTATTTTCTAGTGCCTTTGTTGTTGAAAAGTATTTCAAACATCATTTTCTTCTTTTTTTTTTTGCTGTTTGCGTCTGACGGTTATAATGGTTGAACTCTTATTTCTTCTATCGTTTCTGGTGGAAGTACTAAGTCATTGCTTTCAGATGAATCCCGCGAACAAACTAATGAAAGAGGGGGTGAGTTTTATTTCATTACTTTTTAAGAAACCAGTTTCATGGTTGTCTTTTATCGCTCCACCACTTCTTCACATCGTAGGGCTTAATTTCTTGCAAATCCTCCTAACCTCAGCTGCTTTGTTCTTCTCCTCTTTCTTCTTCCCTCGCACAATCCAAAAAACAAACTTTATGAAAGATCCCAAGGTTCATGTTAAAGATCTTGGTCAACAAGACTCTTTAGGAGACATCAAAATATCTACGAGCATTGATGATGATATTGTCAGATTTAAAGACGAAGGAACAATCCCTGATGAGGAAAGCCTCATAGAGCTCTCCTTACCAACCGGTCACCACGTTTGCCAAAATTTCAGTACCATGACTGGGCATCAAGGTTTCAGACATATCCAACTATTAGCTGAATTTGAAGATGATAATCTGATCGAAATCGATATTTCCATCGGATCCATCAAGTGTTCAAAATTCCAGATCAAAGCCTGATACATCATATATTTTCTACAAATATGACGCGAATAAATGATTGGATGTAAAGTAATTATTATGGTATTTTTGCACGTAACAACTGCTCTGTATTTTTCTTGTTCTAGATTTCTCCAGTCTGTGGGGTTTTGCTATTGTTATATACTAGCAAGTAGCAACAACACTATTCCGAGTTGTTTTTATAATCCTGTCTAACAGCAAAGAATATCACTGGGAGATATTCAATTTATATTTCACATCAAAAATAAAATTAAGAAAATAGGATCAAAGAGTTTCTAAATGAGAAACTTGTAAATACTTAAGAAGCTCTAATAACATTTGTTGGTCTATAAATAGTTCAATCTTAAATATTATATTTGTAAAAAATAATTTAAATTATTAAGTTTAATAAAGATCAAACCCAGTAATTTCTAGTAACAAAAATTGTGATCGAATTGTTAGATTTAGTATGTTTTTTTTTGTAACACCCCTTAATTTCTTTCATTCAAACTTGTTTGGATACAAGATAAAAAGTGAAATGCTGGAATGCTCTTAATGAGGAAAAAATCATTTTTCACATATTCTTACTCTTTTTCACATACTCCTCTATATTCTCATACTCTCCATAGGGTGGTTAATGTCGAAAGTGTCTCTCCCTACTTGACTGAATTAATGACCAATCAAAATTGGTCAAAATTAATCCTCAGAATTATTTTTATTTCGAAATCGGGAGTGATCTGTTTTTTCTCTCTCATCCGCGGGATTCTTCTTCGTTGTTATCATCGCTTATGTCGTTTGAATTCGTCTGCTTGGATAAGCTTTTGAATTCGTCTATTTTTTGTAGGGTTCTTCCCATCATGGGGCTAGTTTTCCTACCGTGTTATTTGTTATTCATCTTAATACTCAGTCTCCTGCTGGAAGGTTCAAGTTCTGACTTTCTTATTATAGCTCTTGGCTACATCTTGCTCGTAGGACCAGTTACTTAGTCGGACGACCTCCCTTTTTTTGTCGAGTAGGTTTAAGCTTAGCAGCATAAGTTCGTTGTTCTCTTCCTGGGTGAGAGACCCGGAAATGGTGATCTTTATATGCATTTTCGCTGAGGATTACTGCCTCGGTCCCATAGACCAGTGAGTATGGAGTTTCTTGTGTCACCGCCTTGGGGTGGTTCGGTATGCGCAGAGGACCCCGTGTAATTCCTCCACCCAAAGCCCTTGAGATTTTCCGAGGCGCTTCTTCAGCATGTTGACAATAGTTTTGCTTGTAGATTCAGCCTGCCCATTGCATTGGGGGTGTCAAGGATTTGCAAATGTGAGCTTGATGCCCCAATCCTTGCAAAACTCCTTGAAGTTATGACTTGTATATTGGGGTCCGATATCTGTTATGATCTCGTGTTGGATCCCGAAGCGTGTGATCACATGGGTCCATATGAATTTCGGATTTGGAGATCAGTGATACAGCTGAGCGCTTCTGCTTCTACCCATTTCAAGAAATAGTGGGTTACTATAAGGAGGAAGACCTACTGCCCCGGCGCCATAGAGAATTTTCCCACTATGTTCATGCCCCACTTTCTGTAAAGCCATGGGGAACTTATGGATTTCAGATTGTCTGGGGGGAGCTAAGATACTGGGGCTTACCTTTGGCATCAATCACAGTGTTTGCCCTTTTGGTTTGCGTCTTCAGCCATCATGGGCCAATAATATTCTGCCCTTTTGGCTCTTAACACCAGGCTTCTTCCGCTAGAAAGAGATCAGCAATGGCCTTCATGCAATTCTACGAGGACCCTGGCTGCCTCGTGGGGAGTGACACATCTTAGGTAAGGTCCGGAGAATGATCTTCTATATAGCTTCTTGCTGGAGATGAAGTACCTGGCGGCCTGCTTCTAGATTCTTCTACTTTGATTGTGATCCTCGGGAAGGGTGTCATGCTCCAGGTATCGGATCAGTGGTAACTGGTTACTTGACAAAATGGGTTGAGGCCGAGGCCCTAGCTACCATAACATTGGTCTAAATAAGGAAATTCCTATGGACGCATGTGATCACCCGCTTCGGGACCCCTCACGAAATCGTCACTGATAATGGGCCCCAGTTCACAAGTCACGACTTCAGAGAATTCTGCAAGGATTGGAACATAAAGCTCTCCTTCTCCGCACCATGACACCCCCAGTCCAATGGACAGGTCGAATCTACCAATAAAACGGTGGTGAACATGATCAAGTAACGCCTGGAGAACGCCCACGGGCGTTGGGAAGAGGAGCTACACAAAGTCCTCTAGGCTTATCGGACTACCCCGAAAACAGCCACACGGGAAACTCCCTTCTCAATTGTCTACGGCATGGAATCTGTGATATCCACAGAAATACATGTCAGAACAACAATCTCCGAACCCATGTCACATGAAGAGAAAACCGAGTTACTGACTCTGAATCTGGACCTGATTGACGAGAAGAGGGAATAAGCACGCCTAAGGAACATTTCCTATCCGCAGAAAGTAGCAAGAAGCTACAATAAGAAAGTCAGAACCCGAACCTTTCAGCAAGGGGACGGGTCCTGCGACGAGTCTGCGACCATACGAAAGACAAGTCCGCAGGGAAGCTTGCCCCTGGATGGGAAGGTCCCTATAAGGTTATCGGAGTGCAGGGGGCAGGAGCCTATAAACTGCAAGACAGTAACGGGAAGGTCTAACCTAACTGCTGGAATGCCTTGCACCTCAAACTCTATCACTTATGATACGATTTCCAGATAAGGCTTTCTACAACTATATAACTATCTATATATATTTTAATTACACTGGTTTCCTACTCCTATGTATGCTAAAAAACGTCTATGGACTAAGCTTTTATATTACATTTTCGTTACGACTAAAGGAGTCACAGGAGCTCCACTGAACTTAAAAGGGGCAAACTAACTGGATCAGGTCTCAAGGGACCTCCTGATCCTGGCGAAGCCTATATCTCCATGACACGATTCACATGTAAAACATTGGGTGTATGACATACAGGAACGGGCCTGTGCAACCCTAGTACACTAAGGAAAACACCTCAGTCCCTGCATAGAGGCCTCGAGCCAAAAATACGCAAGGACCACACGTACTAGTGCACCAAACCCTGCATTAAAAACGCTCTGAGCTAGATACAATGCAGGGGGCATGTCATATAACTGCATAGTACTGAAATCAGCACCATTATTCAGGGAGCAGACGGTGCACAAAACCCTGGGAGCACTTCTATCCTACTTATCCAGACGTAGAAAGTAGCAAGTCTAGCACATTGATCACTACTTCGAGTAGACCCAAACCAGCACCAAAATCTAAGACTGAGAGTGGCTTTCTGCAGAAAGCAGAGTGCAGCATAACATGATTTGGATAGTGTTCTACTTCCGACTGGCAGAATGCGAATCCTTAACCGAGATCGGTAGTGGCCTACTAAGGGGGGCAGAATACGATCTTGACAAAAACAACCTCCGGGTTCCAAGTGTTAAGAACTCTTGAGTTTTTACATTTTGTATCTCCTTACCTCTGGGTTTAACTAAAAAACCTCAGGATTTATCAATAAAATCTCCGGGTTTAGGTACTGGACCTCCTAGTTCACAATTGAATCTCCGGGTTCCAGTGACAAACCTTAGGTTTTAAACAAAGAACTCCAGATCCCAAGTATTTAAACCTCGAGTTTTGTATCTTATGTCTTCTTACCTACGTTTTAGATGAAAAACCTAAGAATTTACTCAGAAACCTGAAGGTTCTAGACAAACTCCTTGAATCTCGAGGAGAAACCTCCGGGTTCCAACTGTTAAAGACTCAGAGCTTTTACATTTCATCCTGATTATCTCTGAATTCTGAGCACTAACCTTCGAATTCAAATTAACCTATTTACAAGAATCCAGTTCCTAAGAGTCCATCTTCAGGTCCCAAACGTCGACTCTCCGAAAATCTTCGCAGAGACCAAGGTCTGAGAGATCCCTCGAGTACCCTCAGGGCCTCCAGCCTATTATCGGTTCTCAGCCAATGATGATGGGTCCGAAGATCCTTCCTCAAGGATATTGAAGGCTTCAAGGTAATACTTGATGGTCCCGACGACATCTACATCTGCAGGGTCAACTAGCTGAAGGAAAGTCATCCGAGGATTTTCCATGCGGTGAAACTACCTGTAAATGTATGCATCCGGTGTCCGGAAGAATAAAGTTCTCCCAAAAGCGCTCTGTTCCCAAAACCTAGCTAGGAGCCAAATACACGAGGGAAAAAGTGAGAGCGTAAAGTATGATAAGAAAAAACCGAGGGATATTATTAATGGCTATTAAGAGTCTTTACTTCCCGACAAAACGCATCAACGAATAATATATAGTGATAAACAACAATAAAGCAAAAGGACATAAAACAGGAAATTCAAAATCTGAAATCCGTTTGGAGAAGTAATTCCCGGAAGAAACACTCCAGTCTAAGCTCTTCCTCCTCCTACCGATAACAGTCAGCGGTGTTCCCCCTCAATATCCAATGACTGGTGCGCCTCTCCGACCATTCCTTCATGAGCTCCCAATGAGGGAGCACCCTGGCTCGTTGCACCGCCAAAGCGTGGTGAGACGCTACATTCCGGAGCTGTGTACGAAAAAGAGGATCTCCTCATACGGAGGCATGCGCCGAAAGAAATCAACCTCTCCGTTACCACCAAAGTGACCCAGAGAAAGAAACCTGAAAAAGGTAGCAACCGGAGGAACCAACGAACCCGCCTTGGACGCGAGCATAAAGAAAGGCTGCCTCCTCCAAGATTTGTCCCTGAGGTAGTCATTGTATATCGACTGAATGCGAACTCCGAGGATCCCACCTGAAATCAAAGCAAACAACGAAAGAATCAGATGTGAGTTATCAGCAACCGGAAAGAAGGAAAACCTCTTACCCTAAATATGATTGTGATGCAAAGCCGCCTGACTCACCAAGAAGGAAATCCATCGGAATCGTTTCGGAATATCTAGGGCTAATTTCACCGAAACCTCGCTAGCAAAGGCCACGGGTCTAGCCACTTCTGCTAAACGAAATAGATAAAGTAAGAAAGAGAATAACAAGGCAAGAGATCATCCAAAAATGGTAAAGAACTAACCTGCAGGGCGCCAGAATAGTGGATAGGTTGGATTCCCATCGACTCTCATGAATACATACCTCTTATTCCATAGATTACCATAGGGGGAACTGCCACAAAAACCACGACGCGGCTCATTCACTGGAGGCTCAAAATATTGAGACCAAATTTGGTACAACCCCTTCTTGTCTGTCAAGGGAACGAGGCTAAAGGAATATAAGACCTTGGATATTCCAAACGGAATTCCATGAAGCTCCCCCAATACCTGAATGCCTATCAGAGTACGCCATGAAGATGGCAAAAGGTGTGAAGGGGAGAAAGCGAAGTATATTTATACATCAGCTATTAGGGTTGGGATATTGCCCCTAAAGCCCACCTCCAGGTAGGCTTTAAAGCCTGAGATGCAATCTTCGACGGAGGCAAGGCGCTAATATATACATTCGGTCGAAAACCCTCCAACGGCTTCGAAAATGGAAGGGAGTATCCCCCAAAAAGTTAAATATTCGAAAAGAGGAAGGGAAAAAGAGGGGATTTGGAAAGGTTTCCGTCTTCCAACTTAAAAGAAAGAAAGATAAAATACCTAAAACTTCTCCATAAAGGTAGAACCGACTTAGCAGAGCTCCACGCAAGCGGCTAGGATTTTTCTCCTCTTTTCCAGAAGCCGATCGCACCAAATTGGAATATCTGACAAATCTTGTGTTATCAAGCGGTCGAGTCACTTTCCCCTTTTATTCTAAACTAGGTGGACTATACTCGCGTAACTTGAAAACCAGACACGTCTTCGTCCAAATCTTGCGTACAAGGTCCGATACCCTGTCCGCCTTTGTTCTCAACCGTAGAAGCAACAAGATCAGGGTCCACTACAAGGAAAAACGGTTTTGATAGTTGTAGAGGATAGCGTTTTTTGTCGTTCCGCTATAATTGAAATACCTCTTAACTTTAGATAGCGTTTATATATTTTGAAACGCTATGATAGCATTTTTTAATAGCACATAATTAAAAACGCTATATTTTCCTTTTTAAATCCCTAAATCCTAAACAAATTTATAAACTCTAAAATCTAAACACAAACTTTAAATCCTAATATTCTAACATCAAATATTAAATTTAACCTCAATATTATATATAAACGAAAAATTATTTCTTTTTCAAAAATTAATATTAAATTCAATACCCTACACCTTTAACCATCAAATCTTATACTCAAACATTTATTCTAAACTTATAACTTTAAATCGTAAATCAAAGTACAAAGTTTTTAAACTCAATACTCAAACATCTAAGTTTAAACTAATTTCATTTACTATACCCTTTTACTTTAAACTTTTAAACTGATTTCATATGAAAGTTTGTAAATTTTTTGACTTGGACTAATGGTCCACACGATCTTCTTTTGGATCTAAAATTAGTGATCCACCAACTGTTTTTTGATTGGTTAATAATGTGGGGTGACAAAGATCGCTACTTTCATCCTTTGATAAGAATCAAACGCTCAGGTACTCCTGCCCGAAAAAATGATCTGAGATACTCCTATCCGAAACTGCCAGAATTTGGAATTTAATATATCTTTATTTAAATTCAAAAATTTATCAAAAGACCACGGACCCAACAGAAAATTACATAATTACAACCCAACCAGTGCCATTTCACGGACCATCCAGACCCGATCCATAAAATTCAGATCAATTTCTCCATAACTTCCGAAACCTTTGTAAGACTTAGTGTAATCGTAAACTGTGGTGTAACTGTGTAGCGTAATAAAACCTGAACAAATAAATACTGTCTCAGTTACAAAGTTATGCTAAATTGAACTAAATCGCACATTTAGGAGTACTCCACATTTAGATTGCAATTTATTATTACGTTATTGTTCGGCCATATGTGTTGTTATTGATATATTTATTGAAGTTCAAATAAAAAAGATTAGTTTGAAGAAGAAATAAACAGAGCATATTGTGAAGAGTACTTCACATAACAACTTTATAAAACTAGATAAAACTTCTATGTCATAAACACCCAACTAATCTTCAAAGGGCCAGGCACGAGCAGTCAAGTGTATGGCATAGCAGAACTCCCAAGCTGCACAATTCCAGAAACAACGATCGCATTTCCACCGTAATCTTGATCCATCTAGGGAGACTACAAGAATGTGGCACATTAGGATCTATCCTTTCAGCCACAGATATAAACATGGGAGGTTTTTCGTAATCCCAATTGTGTTTGATTTCCTAACCAGTGATGATTTGAAACATCTCGTCAACATGTTGACGAGTAAAAGCAGGGTAGTTGTGAACAATTCCTCTACCATCAATGCTAAAGGCTAAGTTCATCATAGCATCTACAAATTGTGCCAACACGCACCCTCTCTCAGTAACACGATGTATTTTTTCCCTTCCTTCATCAAGTAAATGGAGGAAGAAGTACTCGTACATACCTCTCAGGTAGATGGCCTCAGGATTACCCAAACGGTAGCATTTAACCTTGAAAGCTCGAATAGCGTTGACCTCTTCTCCCAGTCATTGAAGAAAATGAGATCAGCCGATCAATAGAAGTGATCATCTCTTCCAACTTCATTGAACCCGGGAAAAGCAATCCTTGCACAACCAAAGTTCCGGATACCGGTCATTAATACTTTAGAGAGAATCTTATGAAGCATTGAAGGAGGGAGAGAAGTCAAGTTCACGTTCTCCATGTTTAACTCGAGTGTCTAACTGAGAATTCTGTCTAACTCTGATAAAAGAAAACGGTTAATGGTGAGAGAAATGAGAAATCCTAAGTTTGTAGAAGTGATAAACCCTTTAAAATTAATGAACCACTGTGTCTATTTAAGTGTGATTTGATGGACTCCTCGAGAAGACACGACTTCTCTCACACACGACTTCTCTCACACGCCTTCTGAATATCTACACTCACATCTCTTGGAACTGTAACATTGTATAAGATATATAACTATATATAAAGTAAGTGAAACTAAAATATATAACTATATAAGTATGTGAAAGTAATTGAGTTAGATTGTTATGAAACTAAGAAAAAATTCAAAATTTAGATTGCATAAATTTTTTGAAACTATGTAAAACGTAGGTATCAGGTATATATTAAATGAAAAATGTAATATTAAGGTTAAAGAAAAACCTGTAATTATGGAGTTGGGTGATTTGGTGGACTACTCAAAAGAACATGACTTCTCTCATGAAAATGTCTAGTTTCGAAGTCTCTCTTATAATCATTACACTTGCATTTAAACGCCACAACACTACACCATGATTAAGTAGTAGATCATCCTAACCATTGCATTTAAACTCCACTTTGAACCCCGACAAAGCATAACTACGCCAACTTATCTCACACACTTTCTGACTACAACAATCGCCTCTCTTGAAATTTAAGATATATAAATATGTAAACGTAAGTGAAACTCGGGGAGATCACGGGCTAGATTTATGAAACTAAGAAAAACGTAACAATTTAGATTGTATAAAAATTTGAAACTATACAAAACTTAACAAAAATTTTGATATTATATCGTTTTATTTTTCAAAAGATGGTCAGTTACCAAAATGGATAATAGTTAGTGAATATATTTAGAGTTCATATATTTAATGATAGCAACTAGCAGTGTAGGAGACAATAAATGAAAAGAATAATATTAATTTTGAGAAAAAGCCTCGTCGAAAGAACAAGACTTCTCTTGTGAAAAAGTCTCTTTTATACGCCACATCTCTTGGAATTCTCCATCTCTTGGATTTATGAGAATTCTGCATTTAAATACTCACCGTTACGAAATCTCCTCTCTCATCTCTTCTCTCTTCTCTCTTCTCTCTTCTCTCATCTTTGCGAATACTCCATCTCTTCTCTCATCTCTCAACAAAAAAGATGGCAGAGTACAATAAGCTTTCCCAGGTTACTTTTAACCTCATGATCAGGGCTTGGCGTTCCAGAGTGCAACTACACAGGATCTACCCTTACGCGATTACCAACCATGGGACTTACTATTAGTATATCCTCGCAGATGAAGATGTAAGTGTTATATCATCATCTCTCAAATGTGTAATAAACATGTAACCGTGAGAAATAAAAACATGATCCTTGTAACATGTAATAAACATGATCTTTGTACTTTATTTATGTAGGGATACAAGATGGAGATGACCACTGGTAGGGATTATCCAAATTTTAGAGGCCTTGAGAAGGAAGAGGGAAGATGGGTGGAAATCTTTGTGGTAGAAGTTGAATGGACCTACCCAGGTTTCCAGCCAACTAGCTCTCTGTTCAGACTAAATGCTACGCGCTGTACGCAAGTCCGCATCATCGAACCTCTGAACAGTCGTCTTTTCTTGGATTTCAAAAGCATCCATGAAATCCCTCACATGCACTAGTGTGACCTCAGATATCCCATAGGTATGTCTGTAATCTCAATAGTCACATATCTTGGTTTAAGAACTTTGTATAACTCTGTAAATGAAAGTGAAACTAAGTGAAACGATCTGATTTAGTTGAGTAACACTTACATAGTAGATACAATGGGAGTGGTCTTCAACACGGAAGCCTATCTCGATGCCCCTTCAGGACCAAGGATGGAGTTTTATGTAAGGGACAACATGTGAGTATAACGTAACATATGATCCAAGCAAAATTTATATATATATATATATATATATATATATATATATATATATATATATTGTAACTGACCCACTTTTTCTTTATTCTGAATAGTGACCATCAGATAAAATGTGTGGTGACCGGCGATTACATGAGTGGTGGGGGTCGTAGACAGGTGATTGTGGCCCTTAAGATGTGGAGAGTCTGGAAATTTATGCGTAAGTGTTGTTTCTGTGACTAGTTTTAAATCTGATAGTTGAGTAGAACTTTTACTAAAATGACTTATACAAGTTATTTTGGTCCTCCTGAAATATGGCTTGAGACCGAAGGTGGATTTGCGGACTTCAGGTTCAATCCGCGTTTGCCCGAGGTTGAGGAATTCAGGCAGTCTCTACTAAACAGCGACCCTTATGTTCAGAAATATGGGGTTGAAGGTCTCGTGTAAATGTTTAATGTCGGATTCAACTTTGTTTAAATGTCGATAAAATTATGTGTTAATGTTGGTGAAACTATCTCTATTGTTATATTTTTGATCTCTCTATTTTCCAACTTTATAGTTTCACTTAATCAATTTTTCAACTTTCTAAACTTAAGACAAAGTTGAATTTCGTTGGTTAAGACAAAGTTCAATTGTTCAAATTTCTAAACTTAAGACAAAGTTTATAGTTTCACTTAATGTTGACAGAAAAGTTTTGCAGGAATCACTTATTGTACATCATAATTCCTAGAACTAAACGACTGTAAGAAGAACACAACCTCCAGATATCTTGGAACTCCTCATCGGACCTTCACTCCTTATTAGGAATGGCAATCTGGACCGCGGCCCGCGGGCTAGTCTCATAAAAGGCCCATACGGGGCGGGTTTGGGCCAGCATATTATCGACCCGATAATTAGCGGGCCTTGCGGGTATTGATTTCGCGGGTTTGGGCCGTTGCGGTTTGGGCCATTTCGGTCTTGCGGGTTTAGCAAAGGACCGCTTTGCCTTCTGTTTTTCCTTCTTGCTGTCGGGACCTGAAAAAAAAGAAGATGATGAGAAGGCGATATCACCGACGATATCACCAACGACACTCCTCGAGCTCCGACAGTACCTCCGGTGTCCGTTTCAAGCTCAGTTGATCACCAGAGGAGCATCGACTTTGTCCTCTGTCGATGTCCCAACCGTTTCGTCCAACCACAGGAGCTACTCTCCTTCCTCGTCCAACCACCGGAACGTCCCTGGTTTGATCTCAATGTCTACGATCTAATCTTCTCACTGGTTTGGTCAGGTGTTCAAGGTAATAAGTCTTTTTGTCTCTTGTCATGTTTTCATGTATTTCAGGTTTGAAGATCTATGTAGTGATTTAATCTTAGATATAATATCAATCAAGAAAATTGGATTTTCGTTGATGGATTATTGGAGCCATATTAGTTCTAAAGCTCACTGTTTGTGTTGCAGTGATAATTGATTGCTTTGATTTGATTCTATTGTTGACTGAGCTCTTTCTTTTTTGTGTTTCCTCGTTAGTTTGATTTATGCAGAGTTAGTTCATTTTTCTTGCAGAAGCGTGATGATGATTAAAAGGGGAAAAGGTTACGTCACAGAGCAAAGAAGCATCTCCTGAGGAGTGTGATGAAGCAGTGGAAGGGTTGAGTTTGGCTAAAGCTAAAGCTAAAGCGAAGAAGCTGGAAGAATCACACAAATCTGATGTATCTATTATGCAGCGTGTGCGGGCGTTTTTTCTTGGGATTGGTCCTGCTTTGAGAGCTATTGCATCCATGAGCAGGTTAGGATTGTGACTTACTGAGCTGATGTAATATGACTTGGTTCTGTTTTATTTTAGTATAAGAAATTATAAGTTTTGTTTTGTTTTTGTATGAGCTGTTCTGTTTTGCTTTAGTACGAGACATGTCATGAGCTGTTTTGTTTTTGTATGAGCTGTTCTGTTTTTGCTTTAGTACGAGCCATTTGCTTTACCAGTCTTCTTTGTTCTTTTTCATGACATGTCTCAGGTGATGCTGGAAAAAAAAACGTTTGCAGCTGTCGAAACTAGGTAAAGTACCTTACTTTCCAAGCAACAACCAAGACACTACAACTCTACAAAGTCACTACAACTCTAACAAACATTTGCAGCTGTTGAAACTTGGATTATGTCACGACCCGCGGGTCGGACCGCAAAGTCTTAGGAACTTAGCAGGGCGGGTTTGGGTAGAGGTGTGGACACCGCGGGTCACGGCGGGCTGACCCGCACAGATCCGCCAGAAAAGAAGCCCGCGGCGGGGCGGGTCACGGCGGGGCGGATGATCCCAATTGCCATCCCTACTCCTTATTGTTGCTTTGAGAAGTTTAAATTCTTCTTCGAGCATTCAAACTTGGAAATCTAACTGTTGTATCTCATCGGTGAAAGCTTCATCAACCCATTTGAAAACGTGATTATCGTTCTCAAGATACGACATGGATATTTTCAAAACGAGTAAGCGTAATTCGTAAGCGTAATTCGTAAGCTTTCGAGAGTAAGTAAAAGGTAAATGGATAATACCCTTAATGAAGCCGCATAGAGACACCGATAATACCGGCAAAATGGATTTAGTTTGCTTTTTGAGATGAGCTCGGTGATTCCCACCCTGCACCAGCACTTAATAGGTATTCCCGGGGAGTTCGTACTCGTGTCCGACCACCGGTCGTGGAAGATGAAGCGGTGGACATCTCGATTTCTCTGTGAGTTCGAGGAGAGGAATGAGAGAGAGAGAGAGAGAATGATTTGAGAGAGAGAAAATGGAAGATAACAAATGGAGGAAAACCCAAAAAAATGTCTTTAATACTTCGATTAAATGATCTTGTGGTTTTAGAAATTTGGGAAGAAGGAAATTTGAAATTCGAAAAGCTGGGCGGGAAAATTTATCCCAGAGATTTTCACAGTAAGTTTCACCAAGTTTTCAGTTTTACGAAAAACATCAAAGTTGCACTTTTTAGTTATTTCCATTTATCTTGGTTATACTCTACTTGAATCACTGATTTGTTGGTTACACCAATTAAATTATGTTTCCTAGATTCATTTCTCAGACGATCATATACACATAAACTTGATTTCGTGCCATACGAAGTTTTCAAATCTAACGAGGTCAGTTTTTGCCAAAAGGCTACAATAACACAGTGTATTTCCTATATGACCAAGCTATCAGATGTAATTTTAACATTTCTGATCAAATCATAATTAACGAAACATTAATAATAAATAACCATATCATTACTTCAGTGACTTATTAAATTAACAAGTTGAGAGTTTACAAACGTATTACTCAGTTTTCCCATCGTAGTTATACCAGTAACGAAAACAACAAGTTTCACTTAGTTATACAATACACAAATACAAATTATTAGACCAACCGTAACGGTAACGAAAACAACAAGTTTCACTCGGTTTTCGTATTTGGGTCAGGGAAAAAAAATCATTTTCGCACGAAGGAGAAAAAAAAAGAGAGAGCTCCCTTGAGAAGGCGATTTTTGAGGCGATTGAAACAACAAAACGAAGGCTTATCTTGCATATTTATGGATTTATATTAGGTTGGGTGTTGTTTTCCTTTAGTTTTTTTCGTTTGGTTTTGTGTTTTCAACGATTTCGGGAAATTTTGGTTTCAAATTAGGGTTTCAAAAATTGGGGATTTCAATCGATTTGTTGTTTCAATCGATTGGGGGATAGTAAAACTGAACATGTAAGATTGTTTCCATTTCAATTTGGGTTTCAATCGATTGGGGATAGTAAAACCGAACATGTATGATTGTTTCCATTTCGTTTCTTGTTTGCAGATGGCAAATCAGCATGAATCTCACTTCTTGAAGCCTATGCTTCTTGGTTTCTACAGTGGTGTGGTATACACACGCTCTTTGTTTCTCCTCTGTTTATGTCCTTTGCTTAACTTCTCCTTTGTTGACTTGTAGGCAATACCACTTGCCTTCTACTCAAAACACATAGAAGGCAAACCGAACCAAGGAAAATGGACACTACGATCGGACGCTTCACACAAAACTTGGGAAGTTATACAAGAAGGAAGAAGACTCACTGATGGTTGGAAAGCCTTCGCCAAAGCACACTCCCTTCGCATCGGTGACATTGTCGTGTTCAAAAAGGAAGGAGACATGGTCTTTCATGTAACTCCTTTCGGTCCTAGTTTTACTGAGATTCAGTATACACCTCCTCAAGGGGATGATGCTGCGGATGGTGCTCCTTCTTTCTCATTTGACTATTTTTTTGTTGCTGAGGTCACTCCGTCAAATCTCTCTGAAGACAAACTTGTAAGTAGTTTACTTTATGTGTCTGAATTTAAAATCTTCGTGAAGATACACTTGTGTTATGTTATGTGTCTTTACCTTCTTTGTTTGCAGCATCTTCCTGTGGAGGCGACGCGGTGTACTGCTCTGAACAATTGATGCCAAGAAACGAAACTGGTGAACAAAGAGGGGAAGTCATTGTCAGTCAGTTTGCGATTTAACGAAGCAGGCTGCATGTTTTACATCAGAAGAGGATGGAGAAGGTTTTTTGTTGATAGCAGAAGCACCGTAGGAGACTTATTTGTGTTCAATGTGGTTGGAGATGGGAAACTTCTCCCTTCTTGTGTGTATGTCCGGAAAGGAAAGTGTGTACTGACTTACTAACCAACTACTTGAGCAGCAAGAATGGTGCCTCAACTTCCTCATCTCTTCCTAAATGATGCATGTTTGTCTTGCTATTGTCTTATTATATAATCTGCTTGTAGTGGACTTGTAATGGATGATCAACTCATCACTCTTAATCAACT